GTGTGTGTGTGTGTGTGTATATATATACATACACATATGCATATACCATTCAATCAGTGTTCGACCAGAAAACCCAGGATTTAAACACCTGTTTGTGTGCGGTTGTGAGCATGCATGCATGTACAAGATCTCTCCAATGGCATGTTTAAAAGTGACTGTGGAGAACCACAGACCTGACCCATRAAGCCCGAAGCCGACACAAGGTCCCACAATGTTACCCTTTGGTAACATTTTTAATGTGGGGGTTAAAAGACATATCCTGATTAAAAATAACACCAAGGTTCTTCACATTAGAACTGGAGGCCAGATTAATGCCATCCAGAGAAGGTCAAAGGCTGCAAAGTTTATCCCTAAGATGTTCAGGTCCAAAAACCACAAACTCTGTCTTATCTGAGTTTAGAAGCAGAAAATTTAGTCAGTTAATTCTAAGCTACTTCACCAATCAATTTTACTGAATTACACACATTATAAATTTGAGTTGTTGTCACTATGTGAAAGTCTAGACTACTTGAACWACATTTTGAGAACAAGCAAATGGACATCTAAGGATTGCAACTCTTTAAATGTATTCTTTGGCACAGCTAATACTCTAAAAATCAGGATTATACAAATGATGTGGAGCTTCCAAGAGCCTTCACCACACTTTCTGATGTGCAAAAAGCACAACAAAACTTGTGATCATGATGTTGATACTACAATAATGTTCAACAAAATCAGTACAGATGGGGTGCAGATCCGGCTTCAGCAGGCCTCATCCAGTCACCTACTGCCCCTTGGCTCTGGGCCTTAGGCCAAAAAAACAAGTGAATTTATGACTAACCCTGGAGTTTATGAGCTTTGTTTCCCTGGGTGACAACTAGATTCTCCTGCACTGACCTCCAGGAATGTCCATCAGCCTAAGAGCCCCCGTTGATGGGAAATAACCAAAATAAATCCAAGGCGTCAAATGGACAACAATGTCCAAAACGTGAGCACCAGAGCAGGCTAAGTTCTCAGTGAAAAATCCCTCCATATGTAAACAGTCATTATAAATGGAGTCCATTCCAGAGAGGACTCCAGAGGGAGGGACAGATTTCAAAGTTCAGGGTGGTACTTTAATGGGAGATGTCTCTGRAACAAGAACACTTTTTATATCCATTAATTTCAATCAATTACAACATACTGAGATAAAAAAATACTTTTCACTGCAGACCCGGATGAAACTTTATTCTTCTAATATTAGCTTGTTGATATTAGCTAACCAGCAGGTCAGGTTTGTGTAATAAAAACATAAAATACATAGATGCATGCCCTCTAAACTCAACCTACTCCTCTGGCTGATAAATGTGATCTTGCGCTGTAGAGGTTTWTCTATGAACACCTATCACATTTCGTTGATGTAATATGTTTTTTCCCTCATCTATCCTTGTGTGGTATTTCGTTTTTCTTTTTAAAGGTGGCACAACCCCTGCTGGTTGTGGTTGCCACATGACCTGTTCACCTGTTCCCCCATGTTTGTCATGTGTGTCTCTTGAATGGGTGTCCTTAAATGTAATTTCATTGTCCTCTGTGGCATCATCAATAAAAATAGTCAATATGTAATATTATTTTATATTACAGAAATGGGAGTTAAAACCATATTGTAGTTGTGGTACTAATATTTGCTACAGGAGCTATCTGATAGCCAATTCAACAGCAAGCACATCAGCTTTATAGGCTAATTTTAATATTAAAA